TTCTTGGAACTAGACAAACTGCAGGTTCAACTGGAAAGGCTAGTGAAACTTTTTGAAAAACATACACATGCAAAAAGAATAGACACCTCAATAGCAAAACTCACATTACCGTTTTTCCAGAGGGTATGTTCATGTGGAAATGCTTCATTAACACTAATGTTTTTCTGTTCTGATAACAGGCGCCTTCCATGTATGCACCTTTTCCACCAAGTATGTGTAGATCAGTGGTTGATTACGAACAAGAAGTGCCCCATTTGCAGAGTGGACATTGAGGCTCAGCTGCCTAGTGAAAGTTGACATCGCTTTCCAGAACTCTTGTCCTCCCTCTCGCTCCCTCTCATCCTTCCTGGTACTGCAGTCAACCAAAGATGGCATGACTTACCTGCGCAGATTTGGAAGCATTGAACCTAGAGTGCTGGCTCTGCTATATGGTACAACTAATGCTAGACCTACAGTTTATGTAGAAGACAGTTGAGTTTCAGTGTATTTATAAATTTTTTAGGTTTTACATTTTTTTCTCTTAATTCATTACTGTATTTTTGCATGGTTCCTTGTATTGCATTTGTTTGCACATATTATGGGCTTTGTGATCCCAAACTTGCAGGCAAGATTAGCTGCTTTAGTAAGTAGAATTGTGTGGTCTCTTTTTTTGGTTTGTTTTACATAGTATCGAGCTTTGAAAGTATGATTTCACTTATTACTAACCTCGGATTCCTTAATTTAATCAATCATATATTTTAGTTTAAATGTATAAAGATCATCTAGAAAAGGATAATATTATGTATTGAGACATTCCTTAATTAGGAAAAAATGGCTGCTGTATATTTACAATATCAGTTCTGAGTCAAATAACATCCTTAATACTGGGAACAGAATATGAACTATATTCAGTTTGACTGATACATATAGCATACTCATCACCAGAGTTTTTGTCTGATCAGATTTTTGTGTTCGTTTTTAAAATTTCAGCACAATGCAGATATATTTGAATGTCAATATTAAACATTTAGACTGCTGTTCAGATTGTATTTATCATTTTCTTATGTCTAGAAATTTGAATCCCTAACTTAAATATTTGCTGCTGTGAAACAGCTCTAGTGAACACTAAATGTTGATTTCAGTTAGCTGGATTGTAGATACTTGCAGATTGAAAGACTTATTAGGGAAATGGAAAGAGAGCTTAGAATCTGTTTGGTCTTCTGCTAACTTAAGTTGAAGTATCTGCGCACATTGAGGGGGTTTTGGTTTGGGGGGGGTGTTTGGTTGTTTTTGGTTTTGTTTTTTTGTTGTTTTTTGGTTGTTTTTTTTAATATAAAACCATTCAATAAGGACTTAGAGCTGCAGGGTTTTTGGGTTTTTTGGTGGTTTTGGTTCTTTTTTTTTTTGGCAGATATACATGCATTCATAGAACTTTTAAGGATTCCAGGCTTGTCTTGGGATTTTTATTAGTTTTAAAGTTAATAAAGTTAGCTAAATCTACTTGTCTCTTGTTTTGTTTTTCATTAGTGAGTTGAAAGCCTGTAAATTTCTGTAGAAACTGAGACACAAATTATGTGGCTACCTAGTTTTTGCCTTGATCATAGATTCCCTCTTTATAAATTACCAACAGTCCATCACTGATTGAAATATTTTCTATAGTTAAGATTTGCTGCATAATATAGTATATAGAACTAAGTTATAACGTACTAACATTTCGCCTTTGGAGGAGGTTTTAATCCACATCGGGATTCAAGTTGCTCATCAGCATTCTTTCACATATAATATAGTTTATTTAAATGTGCTCAACATTGCAAAATGCAAATGTGCAAAAACATTGAGACAGTATTACTGTCACTTTGGAAAAGATGTTCCTTGGGGATCATATATGAACATGTCAATAAGCTTGCATTAAGCCACCTGCTTTGTAAGTGGATTGAATAATAAATACCTTCGGTTTCTCTTGTCTTTGTCTTTCATAATCAGATTAAGTGTAAAATGGTTTACAGTAAACCTAGAAGATGAACTGTTATGTTTACACTAAAAAAGTGATCCATCTATAAATATTACCTTATCTGATTTGATGCCTGTTTTTGTCTGGTTAAAGCTGCTTCCCTTTTATATATATTTTTTTTTTTTTAAATCTGTTAGGAGTAGCATTCGCCAGTGCAGTGTCTATTGCTGGCAACAAACTTAACACCTCTGGCACTGAGGCTTTAAGTGGAGAGAAATTTTATTCCAGCATGTGTGATAAATGGACGTTTCCAAGCTTAATTGCATTGCTAAAACTAAACTTAAAACCACTTTGTGCTTGTACGATGGGGGATATGGGAGAGAGGCAACGCATGATTTGACTGCTTCAATACTTGACATGGTTTTATGCTAAACCTTCTTGAACATGATGGCTGTAGGAAACTGAAAGTGAGTATGAAGTTGAAGCTGCATTGGTAAAAACGAATAAAAGTAACTGGAAGTACTGAACAGACACTTTCTGTTTTTCAGTGGGGAGGGAAGGAGGGAAGTTAGTTGACCACTGATGCTTGAAGTCTGATGATACTCACTTTTAAAAGTTTCCAAGAAGGTACTTGAGAGACATGGGACAAAAAAAAAAAGGGGGCCTCTGAAATAGAGACCCTGGGTATGTGATAGAATCTATTTTGGCTTCCTTACAGGACAAAGAAGCACAGGTTTGGGGGATTTTTTTTTTTTTTGGAGATCTTTTATGCGCCTAATTTGGGTGCTTGGTACTAGAGGTATTTTAGTGGTCCATGAATTGACTTGTTTTATAACTGCTACTGATATTGTCTTGCTTTTAAATGTACGCATAACATTGTAATGTGATGTTGAACACTTAGGTATTTGCCAGGAATCACAATGTTCTGATCTTACATGCTATTGCAGGGGCTAATAAAGCTGCAGCCTACATCTATTCCAGAAAGTTGTGACTTATTTAAGGGAAGGAAAGAGAATAGGCTTTTGATTTTGAAAATCTCCACCACTTACTGTGCTTTATATGCTTAGATGCATTGCCTTAAGTTTTCTGCAGCATCTTTGACTTTGAAGATAAGGTTCTCAACAGTATGCATCAAATTACTTTTCATATAAAATTCCATTGTCAAAAGAAATCCTTTTGTATGCAATAAATAAAATGTTAGACTGGTATCATTCAAACTCTGTTTCTTATGCAAGTGTTTGTTTTTTTTTTCCTTTTGCCTTGTTTTGCCTTTGTAAGTCTTGATCTGTAAAAATTCTTTTGCATACATGTATTACAGGTACTGCCTAAGAAAAAATTATCTCAGTGAAGGACTCAACATTTAGCCACACTTAAATGTGTTGATAAACAGAACCATCTGAATTTAGGAATTCAGGAAAACTGCCCCAGGAAGGATATCAGAATATTAACTTGTGCATATGTGAGTAAACACGTGCTGGTTTTGGGAGACTGCAGAATAGTTGTAATTAAGACTTTTCTGTCAGTTTAGGCAACCACGGTAGAGTTGAAGTTCCTGGATCTCAGGACTAGTTATTAAACTGACTGTTACTAGCTTGTTAATAGCTGACTGACATACCTTCCTGAAGTCATATGTGAAATTTAAAATAAAAGCTGTAACATGCATCTGTTTGGACTCGTGCAGAGTACGGCGTTGCGCTTTTGAACGTGAGGTAAGCTACCTCCGCAGGTGCGCTGTTTGACTGGTTGCGTCGTAGTTAAGTCCGCGTTGCTGAGGTTTGGTTCACCGAGCACAGACGCTGTGCTCCCAGCCAGCTGCCGTCGATAAACTCGGTGAGAAAGCAGCCTAAGCGCCGGCTGCGCCCGGGCGCTGCTCGCCCCCCCCCGCGCCGCCCGGCCCGGGCGGCCACTTTGCTGTGGCTGCCTCTCGACAGCTGCGCGCGCCGTGGCGGTTGCGGCATGGCTTTTAACTACCCGAACTCTCGCCATCAAGTGTTTTTCGCGATAGCCGGCAGGGCCGTGTGTACTTTTCAAGGTAAAATCCGTTGTTTTGTGGCCTTGGGTTCGTCTGAACGCGTGCTGAGGCAGCTGCCCGGACCCCGCCCCCGCCGCCCTGAGAGGGCGGGGCTCGCTGGCGGTGGCTCAGGCCGCTTCCTGTTTGGGGAGGGGCCGAGAAGGCGGACCAATCGAGCACGTGCATCGTACGAAGCTGTCCAATAGGCGGGCGGGAGGGGGTTTAAAGGCAGCCGGGGCGGCACGAGGTAGCAGTAGCTGGTTCCGTTGGAGAGTGAGTGCGTGGCGTCTGAGAAGAGCGGGACGAGCGGCTGGGGGGTCTCCCCCCCCCCCTGTCCCCTGGGC